CACGGATCTTATCAAGGTAGCAATGTCTGAAACTTAAATCACCTTCGCTGACGTTTTCTCAAGAAGGAATTTTACTGAATGGAACACCTGCAATGTATCCAGCTAAACTAACCTTTCGTGGCCTAGAGCAAAAGAGTAGCAGTTTTGTTTTGTTAACTAGTCAAATAGCTTTATATTTTAAAAGATAAAACATTTTAGCAGGAGTGAGGAAAATGTAAGAGAGTTTTGGAAATAACGGCATGTCCGAAAATAAGTCAATGAATTGCAAAAAAAAAACAAAAAAAAATTAGATCCAAGTCAAAATTTCCGGCTATGTTCCATTGTTCTGATGCAGTTTTGACAAAAAGAAACATTTAAAACATCACAGAATTCCTAAAAAGGTAGTTTTTTAAGTTGTTACACTTTTACAATCATCGGCACACATCTTTGAGACTAAACTGCATGCATGACAATTGGAAATGGTTTGAACAAACGCAAATGCAAACAAGCTGGCTGTGTTCAAGACAATTAAGGTAAAGGTTTTGAGGTTAAATATTATTACTTTAGAGCTTTAAGCTTTTTCTGAAGACTAAGGAAGTTACAATACAAGGACAAAAAATGTATTGCCGAAGTACAGAAGAGCTGAGGGACCATTGGCGTGGTCCGGAGGCCAGTAGCCTAGCAGAAGTGTAAAGGCGATGAATTTAGTACCAGCAAAGCAGAAGAGATGACTTATATAAATATTCAGTGTTATCTAGCACTTCGCATCCTTTGGGTGCCGTCCTCAGAGCTCCCCTTGGTCAGCATCTTGTGTCAGCCGTCGCAACGTAGTCAGAGTTGTGTGAAAGACACCCGCAAACCAACTGCACCAGTCATCAAAATTGCGTCCAACCGGGACGATATTTGATCCCAATGTCACTCGTGCATCCTGACAGCTCTAATGAATCTCAAGTTTCACCCTGTTTGGGAACTGCAGTATGGAAGAGGGAACGTGATGGCCATTACGAATGTCCATCATTAGTCGTAGGAGCACTGGCCTAAAAGCAGAGACATTTGTAAAGGATGGTTTTTAACCAGTGGTTTGCGGGGATCAGGTGTCTTGTTTGTCCCTCCTTGTCACTTTGTTCTCACTTCAGTGCTCTCCAGCCATATTTGTCAGTCTGGATCCTATCCAATTGGTGGAGAGGTTGAGGAGGTATCGCGTGGTCACTTCATTGACATCTTCATAGGGGTACCGTGGGCAACTCTGCAACGAACTTTTCCCGGCACTTCACGGCCACGGCTAGTTTCGCTGCTATTGTTAACAGTATTTCTGCAGAACTCGGGTCTGGTGCTGTTGCCGACTGGGTCATCACAGGTACCTCCGTCCGAAGCTTTTGCTGTTCTTCTGTCACCCTAAGGTGCAGCATTCATCAATGGAAATAGAGGGAAAGTTGTCCTCTAGGATTAGGTCCGATTCCTTGAGCTACCACTGCAGCTCTTTGGGTCTTTGCTGAAGACTAAGTAAGTCTCAAACATGGGGCAGAAATGTATTACCGGCGTGCAGAATATCTGGAGGTGGTTATTGGCTTAGCCCGGAGGCTATGCCACCGATCCAAAGTACAGCGGTGGAGCCTTAAATACTCGCATAACCAAGAATGAAGCGTTAAACATGCAATCAAAGTATAACATTACATTTGAGGATTTGTCAAATGGCATGAAGTCTACTTGGCATAACTTACCAACAGCTAATATCATAAGAAAATATTGCATCATTGTGTCGTGTATCTTGGAGGCTTTCGCAGTAAGCGAATTGAGATAGCGCAATCTATATATAAGTGATCAAAAGCCGACAGTGCTATCGTATATTTGGCTTTGGCTTCAACGGGCATCCTGGGTGTTGCTGGAATCTTGTTTTTTTTTGAAACGATGCAGGCGCGACGCGGAATAGTATCAGACCACTTTCCGCAATTCACAATGACATGTAAAATGCATGCAATTATTCACATCCATTACAGAGCCCATTGTAAGTAAAATGCTTTGTTGCATTGTATTTAACTTTCATTTTCTTCTCAACCCTCATAACAGGAATTACACTGCCTGAATTTGATAGGCGCCTTTCAAGGTTATCCGTTTTGCATTTCTAAACTGGCTCTCCTGCATAATGTAACAATTAGGAGGAACCTCTTGCTGATAGTGGTGGAGAACTACTTAGAGCCATCTGGTTCCGGCAAACTTTTGAAATTAAAGACATCTTTAGATGGTTGTCCTTACCATTTCCATTTCCACCACAGATAATTGTACTTTGATCAAGTGACCAGAAGCTGAAGGACATTCTTAGTGCAGGTTAAATATTTATGAGCATGATTTGTTTGCAGCAGGTCGAAGAAGGGACTACAACAGTCGAGATCGTCACCGACCTACGACCGATCCTGTTTGAAATGCAGACACCGATCATATCCATTACTTCGGATTAGAAGGACTTGGTATTAGGTACGGTACTGTACTTGAAGTCTCCTATAGATTCCAGCTTACACGGTGTTCGCACAGTCGTTTTACTTTCCCCAACACAATACGAACCTTACCAAGTGCCTTATGTAAAGGCGGCTTCATTAGGTCACCACGTTCAATACAGCCCTTAAGGCATAATTAGGCACACTATCTGCTTGCTACTAAATGATGGGCTGTTTCAAGGGGTATACCAGATCATCCATGCGGATATAACTTATTAGGAATTCAGGAAAGACCC